TCTCATGATTGTCTCGTAAATATATACATGTCAAAAATCTGAGCATTTTTCTATTCTTTCGATTAATAATATTTCCTCGCACGCACGTATATACGCGTGGTGGGGTCTGTGTAAAAATATGATAGGTAAAAAGTGCTATTATTTTTTAATTTCTTAAGGTTGATTCGTTATTATTTTAAAGCTGGTTATTTGCTTGTTTTTGATGACTACGTAAATTTAATTGGTAGAAATGGCAGTTTGTAATCCTTATTGGTTTTTATATGGTGGTATTAAATATGCTAGCTCAATCTCTGATATAGAGCACTTTCTAATATATATATATATATATATATATATATATATATATATATATATATATATCCGTTTGTCTTGAAAAATGACCTCCAATCGGTTGTGGACTCTAGCATGAACTCGCTGGTTAACTTTAATGACTGAAAAACAAAACTGCTATCTATTACTTACCAGAGAGAACCATCTCTGCCTTCCATTAGAATGACTGACACTCAACTCCACGGCAGCACCTCTTTGCCACTGCTAGGTCCCCCATTGTCCGCTGACCTGAGATGGAACGAACACATTGAGTCAATTGCTTCGTCCACCGCTAGGAAAGTTGGCTCCCTGTGCCGTGCCAGGAAAGTTTTCTCGGCGGAGTCGATCCTCCAAATCTACAAATTAACCATTCGTCCATGCATATATGGTCTGGAGCCCCTTCTAATTGTCTCAAGGTCCTTGATAAAATACAAAGCCGGATATGCAATGTAATTGGTCCTGATCTGGCATCTCCTGTGCAGCCGCTCACTCAGAGACGTGCCGTTGCCTCCCTCTGCCATTTTTACAAATAATTTCACCGTAGCTGCTCTGATGAGCTGCTTTGCTGGTTCCCAGACTTCATGAATTTAATCGCTCAACTAGGCTGGCATCTCGTTCTCTCCCTTTCACAGTCCAAAATGTTAAATGTTGCCGTCTCTTCTGCTTCAATAGCTTCATGTCTCGCACTTCTCGGCTGTGGAACTCCCTACCCATTTCTTGTTTTCCTGATAGCTATAATGCCAAACTATTCAAATGTAACGTCAATTGACATCTCCAGATGTCCTTATCTATCTCCTAACCGTCTATTCATGATTTTCTCTAGCAATGTTCTTTGTGCTCGGTTCAACTCTGTAACCCCTTTCGTGCTAGTGGCTTCCCGCCTCACTTGGGGTTGAATACTTAAAATATATATATATATATATATATATATATATATATATATATATATATACAAAGAATAATCACACATAGAATTAATCAAGTATCAATGCGATTATTGGCGACATCCAGCGCAAGAAAAACATAATATATGCATTAAAATCCTGTTCATCCATAGTGCAGTTTTGATCCTTGAAGAAAAAACTTGTTGTCTGTAGTTTTTCAGTTTATTTGATGTTAAAAATGTTGTTGACAGTCTTTCCATCCAGGCATGGACCTATAAAAATCAAAAAAACTTGAGACGATATACCTGTATGTCGACCAAAGATGTTTTTTTGCTATTATTAAGGTATATCGTCCCAAGTTTTTGATTTTATAGGAAAAAAAATACCTGATGATGGATGGAAGACTGTCCGTAAGTACTAGCATTTTAACATAAATAAACTAAAATTACAGACAACAAGTTTTTCTTCAAGGATCAAAACTGTACTATGGATGAACAGGATTTTAATGCATATTTATGTTTTCTAGCGATGGAAATAATCGCATTGATACTTGATTAATTCTATGTGTGATTATTCTTTTATGTAAATCATATATATTTATATATATATATATATATATATATATATATATATATATATATATATATATATATATATATATTTGTGTGTGTGTAGATAGATAGATAGATGCGAAGAGAGAGTGAAAGGTCACTGAAAGAACTAGACCTGTTTTTAAAATAGAACAAATTTCTTTGAAATAGACAAATTTGAAATGTCGTTCCTTTAACCTCATAAAAAAATGTACATATTTTTTAAAATGAGGTAAAGTCTTCATAGACTCTCGAAATTATAATTTTTTCGTTATGGCTTGTGACATTATTTAAATGATCAATGTCTTATATTTACAAGGTCGATGTATTATTAAAAACAGATTATATTTTCAATCCAATACTAAGCGATATCATATTTATGCTGAATGATGTTCAAGATGTACGTAATTTGATTCAAGGTCGACTTTTTATACGCATCATGCTGACAACTTTGTCATATCTGGGTTGAATTTCAGCAAATTTTTATTGAAAATTGAATTTATAATGCAATGACATTAAAATTATTTCAGAAGTGTATATGTATGTTTGACTTTGCGCACTGAGAATATTTTACGAAAGTTATTCAAATTAAATTAGATGTATTATTTTGGTTCTAATATAAATGATAATTATACTATCATGGCAATTTAGTATGTGGCAACATACATAATTTTATATAATTGAAGCCATCAATGTCAAAGATAGTCAGCACATAATAACAATCAAACTGTCACCTTGTCCGTGAAAACACTTTCTCTCAAAATTCAAAAATGACAATGAGTTCGTGTATGGTTAGTTACATTTAAAATGGTAGTGATAGTAAGGGTTCAAACATTGTTTACTTCTTCTTCTTCTTCTTCTTCTTCTTCTTCTTCTTCATAAATTATTTATTATATTAAATTATTTTTTTATAAATTAACATTATCATCACCTTCAATTTAATGAGTATCAGTTCTTTACTCATGTCATAGGTGATATTTTAATTCGCCTGTTATGATTTTTTTCATAGATATGGCATAAGATAATCAAGTCGAAAGAAGTGACAATCTCGCAGAAAGAAATGAACATATTTCAGTATACAAGGTATACATAGGCGTTTCGAACATAGAACATATTACCTTTGGGGTTCGTAACATGTCCATTTTGTTAGCTTATACTAAAATTATCAGTAATAATCAATGATACCGCCCAAATGATGATAATAAAATTATTAACCCATATTCCAGTATGCTAAATCAGAATTTAGCGAAAATATGAATCATGATCTGTATTGATTAAATATATGATTCACACATTTAACACATATTTCCAACTTTTGATGAAAATAAAATAAACTAAATCATAGCAAATATATCAATCATCAAGATATAAATACCAGTTTCCTTCAAGAAGATCTGATATTTTATCAAGAGAGCCATTTATTAATTTGCAGAGTGTACAAAACTCTTATCTCCTTCAGAATAGTAACCCCTGACTTCATATTGTAGCGCCGATGCTATTCAGTGATTGCGAAATAGAAGTCATCAAATGTGAAAGTTCCTAGAATCCACTTCACAGCATCCTTCATATTTTTCACTGTTTTCAAATCGACATCACATTAGATTCTTCTTCAATTTGCGGAAAAATCAAAATTCACAGCGAGGGACATTTTTAATGACCATCAACTCTATCGCTTCAGTCAGCAAAACGTCTTTCCTTCTGTAGACCACTGAGAACCCCGGGAACAGACTTTGCACAAATTTTGCGCATGTTTATATCTTCATGATAAATTCTGTGTAGCGTTGCCGCACCAACTCAAAATTGTATGCATATTGTGTTTATAGACAATATCTTCATCCAGAAAATCGTAAATTTTCCCAACCAGCTCTGACGTTCTACCGTCCACCTCTACCTTGTCTCCTTCCCACATCAGTCGTCCTCTCTCACGCCCTCTCCACCGTTCTTGAACATCTTGTGCCAGTGGAAGTCAAATGCTAGGATCATAAAATTTACTCCATAAGCAGTCTAGAGCATTTATACGTTTCTGTATCATTTTTAACTAGTTTACTAGAAAACTGTATTGCATAGCTAGCTTTGGAATTGTTTTCATATCCTGACTGCATTCTGCAAACATGTCATCTTTGACAAGCAATATTTTGTAAGGTGCGTTCAAAGAGTTTTTAAAAACCGTCTACATCCGTTCGGAATAAAAAAAATTGGCATGTCAACTTATTAGATGTATAGTAATCATACACGAAAACTACAGTAATTTAGGATAGTTATAATTAACTCTCCAAAGCCTGTCACATAATTTCTTGAATGCACCATATATATATAAGTAGATTGAAATAAAAGAAAATATTGCTAGTAACGATTACTAGCCAACCTCCAGCATAAAGAGAGAAAATTAATTTAGTAAATATACAAAAATAGAAAGGCGTGTGATAGAATGATGTATCTTCTTACCCGACTTATTAAAGAAATTCTGACAATATATTTCCTAACAATTTTTTTATTGGCAGACATGATCTTAACATAAGATATGAAGATGGGAAACTAAAAGATTGTAGAAAGAAGAAAAGAACAATCGTCAGTTACATGAAGAGATAATATATGGTTGTCAGAACACAGAATAGTTGAACATGTAAATTACAAATCAAACACGTACAGCAATTTAAATACGTAGAAAATGTATTAACAGAAGACAGAGCGCTCGACACTGAAATCGGAAGAATAATTGTGATTACCTTCCTAAAGGTAAGCAAAGTGTTAAGAAATAGAAAAAAAACGTCAGAGACAAAGGCATGATGACTGAACTGTTATGATATATCAGTCTCCTATTTGGCAATTAATACCAGACAATCTTCTCTCAGATGACAAAGAAACGTGATGCAATTGAAATGTGAGTCTAGTAGAGATAACAAGAAAGGTTGAGGAGAAATAACAAAAAGACAAAATTTAATAAAAACTACAAAGGGAGAAGAAATTCTGGGCAGCCGTGGTCGCCAACGTGGTTATTGAACATGGCACATAGAAGAAGAAGAAGAAGAAAAAGAAGAAGAAGAAGAAGAAGAAGAACGGTTACCAAATCTTATTGATAAAGTCTTGTATATCATTTTAAATACGCAACTATCTCCACCAGCAACCAGAAAGATTCTAGTGAGTTCCGCAGATCAAGAATTGAACATGTTAAATAAATCAATAGTTAACAATAAACAGATGAAAAATAGATTGAATCCTAAAAGAGCCGTAGATATGAAGTACACTTCAAACGAGTGGATAAACCTTGAGTGTCATTGCTGCAAAAGTATTTCAAGTACAGGAGTTTCAATTCTAAAATGGAGGAGAAAGGAAACCAGGAATGAAGGAAATTCAAAGAAGTAATGTGATAGCGAACATACAAATATGGCTGCAGTGAGAGAAGAAAGAGACAAACTGGAATGCAGAAAATAGACGCGGCCTTGAAAGTCACATTTCAGTTCATTCATTATTGAGAGTGGGTGTACAGGAATATTTTTAGTTAGTGAATTTTATACTTTTAATTATTGATCTTTGAACTGTGATGAAATAAAGTCAATTGTTAGATACGACCAAAAAGTAAACCATTGTTTCTGTTGTATAAAGAAGTGCGTAATATTTAAACTTGAGCGTGGTGAAATTCTGGCTTTAGCAAAAAAAAAATTCCTCACAGATGCAGACATTTAGACATTTGAGCATATTAGAGAAGTCGATCTCACCGAGGAAATTTTAGAACACATTCAT